AGACCCAACGCGAGGACCGAATACCGTGAACGCAGTGACCGAATATAGTGGATGCAACGAACTAACGCACCCGCTCAAAGCGGTATCGTTGACCTCCCTCCCTCCGGACGGCGATGGGGAAATCAAATGTGTCCCCAATCGGGATTCGGCCCCAAGGGTAAAAAAATCGGGGCATTCCCGGGATATCTCGCGAACGCCCAACCGTACCCCTACCACACGGCCCACGCGCTACAGAGGTCGTGCCCGTCCGATCAATGGCAAGCAATCGCGATGACCACCCCACGGAAGATAGTCCGAGAGCTCTTCGGGTCAGACTTGTCCGACCTCGAAGNNNNAAAGAGAGAGAGAGCGTGCCCACGCCATCCCGCGAACCCGACCACCGCGGGTGGGGACGATCCTCCAACGATCAGACCGGGAGCAACGCCACAGGATGGCGATCCTGTTCGACACGCCGCCACCGCCGCTGTGACGAGCGCGAGAATCGGCCGGGACAGGAGGCCGCCGACGACCACCCACACGGGTCCCATCCAGTCGGCCCGAACCGGTGCCGAACATCGTTCCGCCAGCAGCGGGAGTGCTGCCCAGCGTGGCGCCAGCAAGGACCGGGCCAGCTCGAGGCCCGAAGGCGCCGCCGCACGAGCCGATGGCCGCCGCCGTGACGCAACGGGAACCCGGACCAACACTACCACCCCCGGTCCGAGTTACGTTGCCCGGTAGCCGAGGTGCCACACTTTGCCGCACACATCTCGCGGCAATATAGGGCACGCGTGCCCTCCGGACGCTGGCTGGTCAAGTTCGACTATCAGGGACGACCGTGCTCAAGCCGGTTGTTGCCGGCTCGCACCCCTCCGTAAAGGGGGGAAATGATGTCCCGGCAGGGCCGTTACTAAAGCCTCGCGGACATGCACCACCGTCCGCAACGAGACTGGCGCTTAGCGCCATCTTAATTCGCCCCAAACGCGCTTTCCACCGCGCAGCCGTTGCGTAGGCATCCCCACTACGCGATGCGAGAGAGCGTGGGGGAACCGCCGGCCGGGTATATAAGCCGGCTCGGCACCAGAGCTGCCAGTTCGTAGGAAATGGGAGCCCCCACCACTTACCGCGGGACTTACTAACACAGACGTAGTCGCTACGTCATAGCGTGTACGTGTAGCTTCGTGCGTGGGGGCCCCAGCTAGCGGTGGGGGCTCCCATTCCCACGAACTGGCAGCTATGCTCGGCACAGCAACACGATACCAGTCCCGGTCCCGATCCTCGGGACACTAGAAGCCTCAGAGTGCTCTCTGTGTCTCCAGCAAACCAAATCCTGATCCTGCTCCTTCTATCTGGTCTAGGGGGCAAGTGCTCTTGCCCTCTGCCGAGTGCTTTCGGCGGCCAGTCTTGCCTGCGACGAGGGGTGCTCTCCTCGCCGCCCCCGTTTCCGGACCACCATACCAGACCGCGACCGCGATCCACTAGCTTACGCTGCCAACCGACCGTTTGTCCGCTTAGCATAGAGCCCCGCGTTTTGGTCCCGGGTGACCACCAGTCTTGTCCGCCTAGTACATTATATCGAATCTTGTCCACCTAGTATATAGGACCGCGTCTCGTTCACGGCTAAGAGCCAGTCGAATCTTGTCCGCTTAGTACATTGTATCGAGTCTTGTCCAACTAGTATATAAGACCGTGTCTCGTTCACGGCTGAGAGCCAGTCGAGTCTTGTCCGCCTAGTATATAAGATCGGGTCTTGTTCGCGAGTAATTGTCAATCGAGTCTTGTCCGCCGAAATATACTTGGCGTGCCCGTGTCGCATTATAAGTCATATATTTTTATTAATATATTGATAATGATTTCTGATAATCTTTTGGAAATTTTTATTTCAGATCGGGCACGCCAAGTATTTGTATGTCACTTTAATTTTAATCCTTTTCGTTTCAGGCCTATCTGGAAAACCTTATGATTAATTTCAAAACAAGTCGATCAGTTTGGCACGGGGCACTTTTAAACTCGAAATTGGTGATCGATGTGATCGACGTTATTGCAGTAAGGGTTAAGTAGTTTTATGATGTACTATTTGTAATAAAATCCGCAATATAATTGTGCTATTTTATATATTATATATAATATTTATTTGGGGGGGACATAATAGCGTAATTTTATAAAAATAAAATGCATTTTAATTTTCTCGAGAGAATCTATAATATTTCTATAAATGCAAGACTGATTTTATCAAACAAATACTATTTTAAATTACAAACTCTTACAAACTGAACTGCTTCTATGTACTTGGCTAGTTAACTTGATTTCATATTTAGTTTTGATTTTTGATTTTTTAAAGGTTTTTATTTGTTAGAGAAAACTCATTTTTTAGTTTTTTATTTTGTATGAAAATTATTTATCGCGTAATCATAACAAAGAAAAAGTGTGACAAACACTTAGATTCTCGAACGTTCGGTGCCGAGAATATCCTATTATGGAAATCGGTCGACCGCGACTCTGTTCCGTCGTTATTTAGTCTGCCTACGACGATTCGAGCTGGTCGATAGCAATCGATCATAGTTTCGAATATCATCATTTCTCGTATGATATTCTTTCGTGTCTTATTCTCGCTCGTGTCGCGTACGCAGTAGGCTTACTCGTCTCAAAATCGGTCCGAATTGTCTCGCACACGATCGCATTCATATCATCGCGGCGGTCAATTCGGTCATCTTTCAAACTTTATTATTCATTCAGTTAGTGCTAAGACATCGTGAAAGTTAAGTGTTAAGAGTGTGGAGTCCGAGAGTCGACGCGCGTTAACCGTTCCGCGAATGTCCTCTGCCTCGCGCCAAGCAACGCCCGGGAACTGCTTCTATGTACTTGGCTAGTTAACTTGATTTCATATTTAGTTTTGATTTTTGATTTTTTGAAGGTTTTTATTTTTTAGAGGAAAATCATTTTTTAGTTTTCTATTTTGTATAAAAATTATTTTTCGAGGAAAAATTTTTTTAAAAGTTATTTTTTAGGGATAAATAATAAACTTTTTTTACGTACAAGTTGGGATTTTTTATATACTTGACGTATTTTTTTTTACCTTTGTGAGGTTTTTTTAGCTTTTAGGTGATCTCATTGCTTTTTGTAAAAATCTATATTTTTTCTGCAAAAAATATATATGCGTTTTTAGCATATAATATTTAATAATATAATATAGTTTTTTATTCATGTAGAATATCTAATAATAATAAAGTTTAATAATAATAAGTAAATCACAATAATAAAGTTTTATTTATGTAGAATATCTCACAATAATAAAGATTTATTGTAGAATTGGCATTCATTAATTTTATTTTTAGTATATAATGTTCAACAATAATATATATGTGCTTACATTATATTCAAGATTGAAACGTTGAATTTA